CAGAGAATCTTTCAATAACGTAAGTCGAGGCTTGAATTTTTTCTTCAGTTCCCCCAGCTTGAGAAATGCTGACCGTGTTCTTCCCTTTTGGTTTTCTAATTCCAAATCTTTGCATATTTTATTATAGTATTTGGTTTTATCTTCTCTGGCTGACCCATGAAATAGACATAGCAAAATGCTCTTTTTAGAGTTTCTGTGTTTTCCAGTCTTTTGGCCTTTTTTCCTCCCTCATATAAAGCTACACAAAATATTATGTAGGAATAATTACACATACATGCATACCTCATTTTGTTGGGAAGAACTACAGAAACAGTAATAGGTGATACTATATTTTGTAACAGAGAGAAGCTACATGAAGCCAATAATGAACTGCAGAAGAAGAGAGCCATTATTGAAGATCTTGAACCAAGATTTAACAATAGCTGTGAGTTTTTCCTATACTATAACTTTAAGTTGGATTAGCCATGTACTTTCCTAATGGTATTATGTTTATATAAAATGATTTCTTTAAGAAATAGGCCCTATTGAATGTTATACTGATGCCTTACTTAAAGAAAGTCATCTTTATAAAATTCTTTTAAGTTACTAATTATAGATGTGAATTTTTCCATAACTCTTGGAAGCTAAATGAATATTTTATGAGATTGGATCTTTCCGAATGTGATTTCATGTAAGTCAGCCAAACCTTTACTCCTGTTTGTATTTGCACTGGTAGGTAACTTGATTTTGTGTTGAGGTGGGGAAGGACAGATTTATTTTTTAATATATGTACTTTAAGAAAAGCTTTTAATAAAAAATTAAAAAATTACTAGTTGATTTTGAAAAGAGAAAATACATTAAGGAATAGATCAATCTCCCAAAAGTACTGTTAGCTATTTGTTTTTATTTTTGGTGTGTTGAGATATTTTTAAGGATATTACAATCTTTAAAAAATGCTTTATCTCCCCCCAACCCCCATATGTCACCTACAGCATTAAAAATTGAAGAATTACAAGAAGCTTTACGGAAGAAAGAGGAGGAAATGAAGCAAATGGAAGAACGATATAAAAAATACTTAGAGAAAGCCAAAAGTGTAAGTATGAATTTGTGGGTATCTCATTCTGCTTTCTGATCATTTTTTACAGAAGTTTGAAAATAGAGTGCATGTACAGTTAGAACAAAACATAGAACAAAGAAAGAGCCTGATCAAGACGCAGTGATCAAAATAGGTTACCCTACAAGCTACTTAATAAATTACTGAGAGGAAAAAAGTTACCTTTCACAAGAAATAACTGGCAATCAGCACCTTAATGAATCAAAATTAGCAACAGTAATGGTGGGACCATCTTCTTCTGCCCAGAATAGACTGTCATTGCCAGTATTATTTAATATGAATCTAATCAATCTTCTAGACCTAACTACAATTCACAGGACAAACGAGTTAATTGTTGTTGTTGTTATTGTTAGGTGCGATCGAGTTGGTACCTACTCATAGCAACCCTATGCACAACAGAACGAAACTCTGACCAGTCCTGGGCTAACCTCACAATTGTTGCCATGCTTGAGCCCATTGATGCTGCAACTTTACTAATCCATCACTCTGGGGACTCTCCTCTTTTTCTCTGACCCTCCACCTTACCACACATGATACCCTTCTCCAGCCACTGGTCCCTCCTGACAATACATCTTAAGTTAGAAACAAAGTTTGCCCATCCTGGCCTCCAAGGTGCACTCTGGCTGCACTTCTTCCAACACAAATCTGTTGGTTCTTTTGGCAGCCCATGGCGCTTTCAATAGTCTCCTCCAACACCATAACTCAAATGCATCAATTCTTCTACGATCTTCCTTATTCCCCGTCCCACTTACGCATGCATATGATTTTATTGAAAATACCATAGCTTGGGTCAGGCACACTCTTCAGCACTTCAAAAAGGTCTTGTGCAGCAGATTTTCCTAATGCAATACATCATTTGATCTCTTGACTGCTGCTTCCTTGAATATTGATGGTTGATCCAAGAAAAATGAAGTCCTTGACAACTTCAGTCTTTTCTCCATTGATAAGAATGTTGTTTATTGGCCCAGTGGTGAAGATTTTTGTTTTCATTACATTGAAATGCAGTTCATACCTAAGGGTATGGTCTTTGATCTTCATCAGTACATATTTTAAGTCCTCATCACTTTCAGCAAGCAAGGTTGTATCATCTGCATATTGCAGGTTGTTAATGAGTCTTTCTCCAATCCTGATGCCATGTTTTTCTTCATATAACCCAGTTT